AATTTACCTCTGCAAAATTCCTACTGTGATCACAGAAACTTTGATAGTGTAAACCAGACTGCTAAGCAGCTGCTGTAATGGCTAAATATAACAAAATAGTTACCTCAATTTCAGCGTAGGTTTCTCCCTGAAATACATGACCTCCATCTTCAACTGTGTAGCTGATGAGTTTACCAGCAGACGGTGACCTGAAATAATATGTTGGAGACAACATTACTCCTTGTCCAGTATACTTTGCAATTGTTTCTACCTGTCTGTGTCTTGTGTGTTCATTTTCGTGTTTGTTTATAACTGGGTCAAACATCAAAAGCTGGTTAATTTAACCTTAGGTTAATTTAAAATTCAAACAAATTTCCCAATAGTTTCTTTATAAACTTGGAAATATTCCTTCAAAGATTTTGTCTGGATCAAGAGGAGTTTTCTTCTCTGAAGTTTTGAAATAAACAGACGTGTAGAAATACACAAACTGAAACAGCAGGTTAAATTTGAACCCAGGGTTAGCTTTAATCCACCCGGCTTTGAACAACAGGCCCGTGGATGTTTTCTAACACATACGAACCTCAACTTGGAGGGATCATTTTGTTTCTGAAAAACGCAAGTCTTGCCAGCAATTGTCATACGATATCTACAATCAAATAAAATAGTATGTGGGCTGTGTGATAATCACCCTTACTTACAGCTGAGAGCTAAGCTGAATTACGATGGACGCAGCTCAACCTCGTCGAGTCGAAGGCTTTCTAAGGGCGCCTCTGAATTTGGCGCCTGTCAGTGACAACAGGAGAAAGAAACAGGGCATGCAAAGCCCCAATTGACAACAAACCTCTGAAGTTTGATCAGATATGAGTCATAAGGTAGTTGAATGGTTAACCCCAGCCCACCCTGTCAACATTCCTTGCGGGAGGAAACCAGAGCACAACTTTTGGTACAGCGTCCAACTGACACGTTTCACATGAGTCCGCAGTATATGTGAATATAACTTACTAACTCTTTGTATCCTTGTAAATATGTATAGCATCATGTATCCTATAGTCTCATAATTGTTCTGGTATATCATATATATCCATATACCAATATGTAAATACTGCACGAACACTCTATATACTATTGTATACTTTGTATTTAATGTTTTGCAAGAACCATCTGAAAAACACTTCTTGTGATGTTGGTTTCCTGAATAAATATTGTTATCAATGTTATTTAAAATATTGTTATGAAGCTTTGTGATTAATACAAGCTAGTCAGCACAACTCTAAAATGAAGTGGTCAGCGCTCACCTGTCCACCTCTTCTTTCATATACGTGGTGTAACAACTTCCATCAAAACAAATCAATAATCCACCGTCACTTAGTCTGAAAAAAAACAACAAAGTGGAAGAATAGCTGAACTGGGGCGATGCATAATAGACAATCCCCATTAAAGACTAATTTTAAAATTGGGGAAGGAGATGCAAAAAGAGCATAGTAAATTGAGTAAAATTGCAAAGTTTGGTTGCGAAATGTTGTAAAATACGAAAAATATAGCTTTGCAAATTTGCAAATTTTGTACACTATTGTATTGCGTGCGGAAATTGCTACCATTTTCGACCCAAATTTGGTATCAATTTCCGCACGCAATACAAAAGTATACAAAATTTGCGAACTTTGCAAGGCTATATTTTCCGCATTTTACAACATTTCGCAACCAAACTTTGCAATTTTACTCATTTTAGTATGCTCTTTCTAGCTGTGGTGATTTATTTGCATCTCCTTGCCTAGTTATAAAATTAGTCTATAATGGGGAATTGTATAACATTTCTGAGCCGAAAGTGGTTATTTTTACCGCGCGTAATACTAAAATACTGAAAATTCGCTAATTTCACATGGCTATATTTTCCGTATTTTACAACATTTCGCAACCAAACTTTGCAATTTTACTAATTTTAGGATGCTCTTTTGAGCTATAATTATATATTTCGTCTTTCTTGTCTAGATAAAAAATTAATCGATAGCTGGAATTGCCTATTCCATTGTGTCTGCACCCCTTGCACTATTGTGTTTCGTTATGGCAAGGTTTCCGTTGAATCCCTCTACTGCACATGCAGTCATGCGATCTCAGTGCAGCGCTATAACCAATGGACCATTCCCCAATTAACCAAAATTTTGAACTCAACAAGTCTAGACAAAAATTTCATCACAGCTTGAAAGAGTATCACAAAATTAGTAATATTCCAAAGTTTCGTTGCAAAATGTTGTAAAATGCGGATAATATAGCCTTGCGAAGTTTGCAATTTTCAGTCATTTTAGATTACAAACTGGAAGAAACGGTTACCACTTCTGTGCGTAATACAAAATGACTGAAAAACGGCAAACTTCGCAAGGCTATATTATCCGCATTTTACAACATTTTGCAACGAAACTTTGGAATATTACTAATTTTGTGATGCTCTTTCATGCTATGATGGAATTTTGTCTAGACTTGTTGAGATCAAAATTTTGGTTAATTGGGGAATGGTCCATTGAGCTACAGAGTCCAGTTGTCGAGTTCAACCACAAATAAAGAACTACGCTTTCTCGCAGGCAATTTCACGAAGACAACAATACCTGTGAACATCCACTTCGACCGACGAATCATTCATTTCCAGGAAATGAAGACTTGGACCCATTCTAGAAACCTGAAAGTATTTTTTTAAAAAAAATTAAATTATAAGATAGGCACAGAAGAAGAAAACGTATTAAAACAGTAAAGAAATGAACAACTTGCCTTCACACAATATTTATCATGGTCATAAATAAGTTCCACACATTCCGTGTTTGTCAGCATATGTGCTGGTAGAATTTGACCTCTAAACAACAAGTAAGTGACGCATTGTGTAAGTCCGATTGTATGACGAGGTAACCCCCTAACCCCCCCCCCTCTAAACAACAAGTAGCGACGCATTGTGTAGAGATCCGATTGTAAGACAGAAATGCCCCCCTAGAATTTGACCTCTAAACAACAAGTAAGTGACGCATTGTGTAAGTCCGATTGTATGACGAGGTAACCCCCTAACCCCCCCCCTCCCCCACCCCACATAATCCAACCCTTTCCACGTACCTTTCCAAGCCGTGTTGAAAACTAGAAAATCTCTTGTTAACATGAGAGTCAGCGACATGAATTGATCCACAGATTACAGCAAGAATTGTGTCTGGTTTCTCCGCCTAAAAATAGGACAGAAAGATCGTATCATAGCCTAAGTATTGACTGAACTAAACTGTATTAATCAATACTGGCTAGCTCTACCAGTTCCATCATCTCTTATTCATCCAGAACACTAGAATTGTGATCGGGCTGATTTCAGATGTTGCTGAATGTGGAAGACGAACTTTGTTGCTGATTATGTCACATGATTTTACAACGAATTTTTCAAATAGTACAGACACAGAATAGAGACAAACAGAAGATCGACTTCTAGGATTTTCCTATGATTTTGGCGTAACCGTAACTCGTCATCAAAATGCTGACGCCATGGTCCTAGCCATGAGAGGCATTCACTCCTTGATAATATTCAAAATGGCGGACATCCAGGGGGAATGCCTTTCATAAGCGCACTGGCTAGGACCATGGCGTCAGCATTTTGATGACGAATCATGGCGTGGCAGCGGTTACGCTTTTTTGGCTGAGTCGACCTTCTGCGTGTCTTTATTCTGTGGTGTAGATGGTTGCACGAGCTACCTGCACTTTCTCAGCAATCAGATGATCAAGCCATGTCGTGTCAAATTTGTTAGTTTGAAATTGTTCTTCCTCCAAGAGTTTCACCAAGTATTCCACTGTTGTACGAAAGTCACCTCGGATTGAAATCTCTTTTAAAGCCATCACCATGTTTCTAAACAAATAAGATAGTTTTTAATCAAGAAAGGGTAAAGAGAGGGGATGAAGTCTCTACGTTTCTTCATTTCATTTCTTCGTATCTTCATTCGTTCGTTTCTTCGTCTCTTCATTTCTTCGTCTCTTCATTCGTTCGTTTCTTCATGTCTTCGTTTCTTCGTCTCTTCATTCGTTCGTGTCTTCGTTTCTTCATTCGTTCGTTTCTTCGTGTCTTTGTTTCTTCATTTCTTCGTTTCTTCATTTCTTCGTTTCTTCGTGTCTTTGTTTCTTCATTTCTTCGTTTCTTCATTTCTTCGTTTCTTCGTTTCTTCGTGTCTTCGTTTCTTTGTTTCTTCGTTATCTCGTTTCTTCGTCTATTCATTTCTACATTTCTTCGTTTATTTATTTACATGATTTGCCACAAACAACAAGCATGTACTTATACGAAAAGAAGACACGAAAGACATACAATGCGTATTGGTAGGGACTGCCGGACCACAGAGATAGTTTCCAGTTACGGGGTCCCACTTGGCTTTTTCCAAACTACCAACAACACGTTGGCACGTGCTGTAAAAGTCGTGCCAGTCTCCTTACCTTCTCGCGCGGTCTCTATCCTCGCCCCAAGCAAAGCAATGTCCAAACTGGGAGTCAGCATACTCGTGCAATGCCCCTTCTGGCGCCACGCTGAAATAACCCCAGACGGAGGAACTGCTGCGGAAATTTAATTCTTGTACGGTACCACTACTCGGCTTGAAACCCTACATAAAAGAAAGATGTGGTTATATTTATAGCTCTATCAGTTACTACAACAGGAAACCTAAACTAAACTAACTCCATGTATACTGGATAGCTCTATCAGTTCTAAACTGTTCTCTCTAGAGGTCCAGTAAGAATCTTCTCTTATTGATCCAGTGTTACTACAGGAGGAAACCTAAACTAAACTAACTCTATGTATACTGGATAGCTCTATCAGTTTTAAACTGTTCTCTCTAGAGGTCCAGTAAGAATCTTCTCTTATTGATCCAGTGTTACTACAGGAGGAAACCTAAACTAAACTAACTCTATTTATACTGGATAGCTCTATCAGTTCTAAACTGTTCTCTCTAGATGTCCAGTAAGGATCATCTCTTATTGATCCAGTGTTACTACAGGAGGAAACCTAAACTAAATTAAGTTCATTCATACTGTATTTTAGGCAACATTATAATCAGACAGCTGCATATTGCAGTAACTACTATATCTATAAATTCTTACCTCGTCAGGATTTTCAGCTGTGATTCTGGCTGCAATGACATGACCTTTTGGTTTCGGTTGAATGGAGGGCCTGAACAAAAATACCATGATAGTTAAAGGAAATAAGAAAGGACAGAAGAAAGGAAAGCAAAAGAAAGAAGAAAGGAAAGGAAGGAAGAATTGATACAGTATAATGCTGTAATACGGATTAACCCAAAACGTACTTGTCAAAATTTATTCTGGTCGTTTCATAATCTCGCTTGGTATAAAGATTTCGTACATCTTTAATGTTATCCAACGGTATGCCCATTGCAATCTAAACATAGTGAAATTGTTACGTTTTGTATAATTTTTTTTCGGTGGAATCAGCAGGTGAGTCAAATGATGGTTCATACCTGTAACTGATCCGCTGGTAAGTTAATATCTGCGATCATTTCTGTGCATGGATGCTCAACCTGAAAATGTAATGCCCATCAATGGACCATTTGCATTATAGACTAAATTTTGATCTAGACAAAAATTTCATCACAGCTTGAAAGATCGTCACAAAATTAGTAATATTCCAAAGTTTCGTTGCGAAATGTTGTAAAATGCGGATAATATAGCCTTGCGAAATTTGCAATTTTCAGTCATTTTGCATTATAAACGGGAAATTGATGCCCCAACACCCGATTGGGCTGTCAATTTCCCGTGCGTAATACAAAATGACTGAGAAACGGCAAACTTCGCAAGGCTATATATATTATCCGCATTTTACAACATTTCGCAACGAAACTTTGGAATATTACTAATTTTGTGATGCTCTTTCAAGCTGTGATGAAATTTTTGTCTAGATCAAAATTTAGTCTATAATGCAAATGGTCCATTCGCGACTCGCCAATTCTTGATTAATTTCCAAACTTGAATCTACCTTTGACGTGAATAGAATGCGCACTTGCCACTTGAAAGACTTATTGTGCTCTTAAAGATTAATTTCATGCACTTTTCATGTTAATATTTGTTCACTATATCAGTGTGTTAATGTGTGTTTGTAAATATGTTATAATTGTTGCTGTCGTTCTTGGGTTGGTCTTAAATAGTTAATAAATAAATTCTCATCAACTCTCATCCTCGTTTGACTGGAGCTCACTCCTTTAGAGTTTAAAATCTGATTGGCTTATATATAGCTTGCTTATTGGGGAATCATGTGTTTCAAATATTTTAATCGGCGTTTAATTATAATAGATTTAATAAGAAAAATCTGGAAAATGAATGTTCGAGCAGGCACAATTTTTCATCCTTTGAAAATTTTGTTAAAACTTCGTAAAGGAAATATTTACAATGTTTTGGTTGTATTGTCATAGTTTTGTTGAAAAGGGGTGACGCGAGCAACCTCTCCAAGCAGGAAGTGAAAAACTAGATTAGACTATAGACTGATGTATAGTCATTTTGTTGAAAAAGTAAGTTACCCAATTGTAGGCTTATTTTATGATATAATTACTTGTATATCGACTTCATTGTTCAATTGCTTATGTTGCATCTCACTGAAATTCTCGACTCTCACAATCCAAATCACTTGAAATACATCTATAGTATTATCAGCGAACCAATATATCAAATTTAAGAAGCTACCCACCGTTGGAAAGCTGAATGGCTAAACTATAAGATGTACGTGAACCTGAACGTTTTGTTTTATATTCGTTTCGTAATTTACATTTGAATTGAGAACTCCGTTTTCTTATACACCAGCAGTAATACAGTAGCTACACCTGTACTTGTCGGCAAATAATAATTTTAAGAACAAATAATAAAACTGCAGGGAAACTTCATTAATGTTTATTATATTCTAAGTAAGAGCTTAGATGTATTCAGCTTTATAACAATGTATACTGTATATTTGAGATGTAATAAGTGAATTTATTTAACAGCAATTAAAGTGATTTTATTATTTAACGGCAAAATATTCAAGATCACGATCATTTGAACACGAAGAGAAAATTTCAAACCTGTTTTCTTTATGCACTGCCGAAAAACTTTACTCAACCGGGATTTGAACTCTCCAGGATTCTTTCAACTTTTTCAGTTGATCTCGCCACTGTATACGAAATCATGATTCTGTAATACTAATCATTGTGGGCTCCATGAATTAAGGTGAAATGCCACGAATAAGAAAAAAAAAATATCGGACGGATGATTAGTTAATTATAGACAGTTAAGCCTTAAGGCCAAGTTACACAACACGACCTTTTCCGAAAACTGTCGCATATGCAACCTGCTTACAACTTGAGTTGTACTATGTATAAATGAGGCACACGACCGACAACGTAAGTGAGTTGTGTGCTTGATTTACATAGACTATGTACATGTCATAGTTGTGTAGTGTAAATCGGCCATTAGGAAGTTCCCACAGATATATGTTTGTGCCTTTGTGTGATGTGCATACTCATTTCACTTACAATATAAATTTCCATGCACATATATAGCGGTTCTGGTTCAAGCTTCAAGATGTTTATACTTCAATTAACATAACACTGATTATGCTAATTTGATGATTGGAGGCTGGAGCCACTAAAGCCTGCAGCACACGAGAGCTATCTGCTGAGCCAAAAGTTACTCGTGCCTGTTAGCTCAGCTGATAGCTCACCGATCAAACATGTTTGATACGTGAGAAAAGGTTGCATGAGGCAAAAAAACTCAGTAAAATGTACCCGCACACGGTGAGCTATCGGCTGAGCTAACAGACACGAGTAACTTTTTGCTCAGCAGATAGCTCTCGTGTGCGGCAGGCTTAATGAGTAATGATATGTTTACTATCGCATTATGGATGTGGACTCAATGGGATCGTGAATTGGAGCATGCATGTTATGCAAAGTGCCACGTTAAGTATAGCCCATAGGCAAAACGAAAGAGATAAGAAAACATGCATGACCAACTTTCCATGTGGTCGCTAGTCAGCTTTTCCCGCTCATATCAGAGCGGAGGTCACGTTTTCGCGGTTACGTACCGCATATTTTCACCTCATGCATGCATGCAGACACTCTAACTTAATTCAAGTAACTCTGTTTTGACCTTGTATACAGTCGGGCTATACTTCTGAAAAGTCCGTATTGCACCAAATTTAAAGGGATCTTTATACTGTTATCGACAGATCCAATGGGTCTATCGTGATTCAAGACAACATTTTATATCCCGGTTGACGTCTATATATAATGAAGGCTGTTGAAAGTCGTTAGGCTTGAGCGGTCAGCTTATTGCAATATTAATACAAAGTCAAAAGTCATTATATTGATATAGTTACTATACAGCACGTAATCTCAATACGCTGGTAAAAGATTGTATACACGAGATTCAATTCCTATAAAATTGTGCACGGAAGTTTATCTAGACGTATTCATAACATGGGTATGCAGCTAAGCTATTAACTTTTCTTCAAATTAACCAGATAAGACATGTCGACTATATTAAACGCAATACAAAATATCGGCAATGTTTCCGTCGTAAGTCAATACAACCTTGGAGAATTGAATAAGCACTCCAAGTATGTCGAAGTTAAATACTCATGATTGCATGTACCTACATTCATTGTGACAACTCCATGAACTGTCGCCAGAACGAAACCTCATGATTAAATTGTCAAATGCTCATGAACAAATCCTGCAGCGTCACATCAGTGCAATAGATTAACTATATATAACCATATATATACTCAACTTGTCTCGCGATATAATTCTACTTTGTACAACGCTTGACGCGCAACAAAAAGTGTAGGGAGACAGGTAGCATTGTGTTAACGCGATCGTTGCTAAACGGGATGGGCGAGAGGGAGTTAGTTTTCAAGATGGCAGCTACATTATTCAAGATCGTTTAAACGCGAAATTAAGAATCAACAACCAGGCACTTATAACAATCCTAAACCTTACTCTAAATCTTACCCTAAAACCCCAATCCTAACATTAAGCGAACTTTAAGTGCAACAGCGCGGCTAGAATGCCTGACAAAAAGTGAAAAATCTTCGAGTCCACCTACTCGCATGTCAATCAATCCACCAGACGATTAAAAAATGTTCAATGATGATCCAAAATACTTTGAACCGTTCAATAATTTGTCCGTAATATAGACGGGTGAAAAGATTGAAATTTCCACAATTTCCAATCGTCTGAATACGCAATTTACTTTTACCAATACTACGATAGACGCTCGATCCGTGGGTGAATTGCTGTTTCAGTTACAAGAGTACATGCTTAACACGTTACATAGAATAACTGAGTTAGAGAATAAGTCACCCTAGTGTGTGATTTAGTTACATGTTACAAAACAACATTGGAACTGGCTTAGCCACTCAGAATGAAGCGACTGACAGCTGTCATTATATATATATATATTATCAACTACATAGCAACCGGCTTATAATTGAACTAACCTTCCCCAATAACGGTTCCCATTGGTTCCAGGTTCATAGTGGTACACGGGCTCTGCCACGCCGAAGTAGAAGAAGCCTACGCCGATTCCTGCAGCGAACAACATAGTAAAATATGTGGCATCGCTGAATTCCGGCTCATCGTCGTCGCGACCAAGTTTCAATTTGCCATACTTCGAGAAATACACTACCACGATAAAGATAAACCAAACGTTGACGCTACCGATATAGAACCAAGTAAATGTCTCGGTGATCCAAATTTTGGCCTTACTCATTGCCTCATTCGACTCGTCTGGGAAGCCCATACATATCCCAACAAACGCCCATATCAATGCTGCAGCGAGTAGAGTTACAACAGGATTAAAGTTAAGACGAATAGGGCCAATGTTCAATTTAAATGTATGTAAACGTTCGTCCCTGTTACTGTTTCCCGACATATCGCTCGTTAGATTGTCGACTGTCGAACGATTATTATTATTATTTAAGTTAGAATTTATAGCAACCTTTCATGAGACCGTGCACACTCAAAGATGCCAGATGTGCTGTCAGAACATTTGTTTTCATACTATAATGCTCACAAATCATATGCAAACTATCTCTTATTATTATTCAAATTAATTAATGAAGTAAAATATTCAAAGAGTGTTTATGAAATTGTTCAGGCTGGCGTTACGTTTTCAACGTAAGTTTTAAACGAAGCAAAGTAACTCATGCTGGGAGTACCAGACATCATACCTGCTATATGGAACCACTGTTTTCCCAGCGTAGTTTTTAGCAAAAATACAAAACCATTTGTCGGGATACTTAACGTTAGTTCGTCATAGAATAAAAATTGTGTCAAGATTCTTTGAATTGTTTTCCTTTTTGGGATTGAGGGACTTAATCAAACAGTGGAAACACAAGAGAGCTCTGTCAATATTTGCAGATGATTTGCATACACTTATAGTTGCCACGTTTATATCAACTTATCGTAAATGCATATTTACTGCTGCATCAGCCATGAACCTATAATGCTATATATATATATATATATATATATATATATATATATATATATATATATATATATATATATATATATATATATATATATATATATATATATACTTAAGTCTTAACATTATCTATACACGGCCATATGGTCTAATTTTAATTCTCAACATCTCGAATCATTAAAACATATACTTCAATTTATAGGTTTTGCTTCAATGTTCAATCACCCATAACAAAGAGTTCATTGTATATATATGTTTTATTCGCGTATCAGCTTTTTTAACTGTAATATTAAGTATTACTATATATAGGCATATAGTAATGTTATTGTTATGTCTAGTTTCATTTCAAGATAGGGTTTATAAACAATCGGCCGGATTCTGATAATAGTGTTGGATTTTTGGGATAAGTGGAATTATATACACTGATCATTTTGAACTTTGTACTACCCAATTTTTTGCCTTAATTAATATGAAAACGAAATAAAAGAAATAATATCAACTAAAGCCAGATCAGTTGGCTGTCATGTATTATATACAAAATAAAGGTTTGATGACTGTTCCAACTATGTTTTAACTTTATAGAATACATGATACTGATAGTGTTGGAAAAGCATTACAGTTGATTTCACAAAACTTTTAACAACTTCGTTCCGAAGTTCGCAACTTTACTTAATTAAGTTCATATTGAAATTCACAAGCCGGTTTGTAAACAAAGCATCTGATTGGTCCATGAATTTAAAAGAAGCCAATCAAATTCTTAGTTAACAAACCGGTTTGTGAATATTATGGAACTCCCCAACGAAATTTACGAAGTACGGAAATTTTGGTCAGCGTTCTCACTTTTAAGGAAATTTCCTTAAACTGAGGAAATTTGAACCTCTTCAAGGATGTTTTTAAGGAAATGAATTTTTTAAGGAATTTCTGAGGAATTTCAAGCTTTTACCTAATATTTGAAAGTATTGAAATAATATTCAAGCTCGTCTGGAATATTTTTGTGTAAAAACATGGTTACCAATTTTGGACGTGTTTTCAGTTTAGTCCACGTTATAGCCTCCAGCTAATACCTTAACCTGCAGTGGCATGCTCTCTCACAGTCATGCATGATCAGTCAGAAAAACTCATCCAGTAATAAAGTATTGACTACTGTTTATAAACGACCAGCCAACTTTCAGAAAGTTACACTCTGATGGCGTTTTTTGTTACAACTGGCATTTTCGTAAATATTGGTGAACAAGACTATATGTGGTGGCACCTCTGATTTTGACTTTACAGCCGAAAATTTGAGAATTTTAAAAGCTTGCCTAAAATTAATAAAGTACTATGTTGACTAATAATGCAAAATTTCAAAAATAATCTGCACCATTAAAAGATCGCAAAAAGGTACTATATGTAACACATTTAAGCGAGTAGTCGCTTTTGAGTTAAAGGGGCTTAAAGTCGGTAAAATAGTAACTAAAAATAAGAAACAATTTGTGGTTAGACGGCATGTATTTAATTTAATTCTGAGCTTTTGGCTCGACCCGACAAAAAGAACATCTGAACTGTTCCAACAAAGCTCAACTCGAGAAATCAGCCATTGCCAAACACGCCTGGGAAAAAGTCCATCGCATTGAATGGAACGATTCTACACTTCTTGCCCATGTTAACAATTACAACGCGGCATGGAAGAAAAGACGGGTACCGGGTAAATGGGTACCGGGTAGATGGGTAAATGGGTACCGGGTAAATGGGTAAATGGCTATACCGATGGGTGAATGGGTACCGGGTAAATGGGTAGATGGGTACCGGGTAAGTGGGTACCGAATAAACGGTACGTTCAATGCGTTTTTAAAATTTTTAATAAGCTGAAATTAAAGTTCAATTAAACACAGCCTTCAATTCATCATGATAGTATGCTATATTGGACATGGGGTAAATCCTAAATACATCTTGCATTTTACTAATAAACAAAAGTTGTTCAAAAATCATTGCAAATATTTCAAAACTATTATTAATACTGTAGCTATTAGTGCACTGTGCCGTGTGCCACATTGCTGATTTTTTGCACTCTATTATAATAGCTATACTAATAATTCCTGCCTGAGTTTAAAATATTATGGAGTTTTTAGTATTTTGCTGACGCCATGCAGAAAAACTATAAAGCACGGTTTAAACGCGCGAGACTTCTTTTTAATACAGTAGTGCCTAAAAAATAACCTATAAAATATAGAAAAATCTGCCCAAAAGGCTTTGCAAGACACACCCAAAATATAGCCAAAACCACCCATGTGCGGTCTCCTTGCTTAAAAATATATCACGGCACCGCCCACAAACGTAACAGCACCGCCTCTGGAGATAAACGAATTTCAATGTCGCGACTATTAAAACACGTTTAGTTTCAATATTTGAAGCAATTTTACTTTGAATTTTTATGAATGGATATCAATCTTCACAAATTCAAACTACAGAGACTTAAAAATATGTCTATAAGCGCTTTATACTATTTTAAAATCAATCGTCTAGTCGCGACATTGAAATTCCTTTATGTCTGAGAGCGACTTTGGAAACGTTTGTGGGCGGTGCCGTGATATATTTTTGAGCAAGGAGACCGCACATGGGTAGTCAATTTATCCCGGGCGTTCTGTGACCGGCCCCGTCCGCGATCATATCAGATCATGTCAGCGGCTCAGCATTTAGCATTAATTAATACAATTCGAATTCGCGCGCGAATTATTAATTAAAGATATTATTTTAATTGAATATAATACACTTAAAAAACAAACGTGACCCTAACTCTAATCTAACCGAAAGGTATTGTATAAAGGCAATCTTAGGAAAAATCGTAAAGAAAAAAAATATGAGAACAAAACATTGGCCATTGCGGGAATCGAACCACCAATTAGCAGCATGTTAGATCGCACGCAACGCCCTAGACAAACACGCCACCGGCAACTCGCTGAAATTACAAATGCAGAAAATCTAAATATATAGTGGTCACATATATAAATAAAACGAGCCCCTCACATTTAGTATAAAATATTGTGATGGCATGGCATTTATTGTTTTTCTAGACACCGTAAGAACCTCAAATTTCAGAGAGGTTAGTTTGTGAATTTTCTCAGAGGATGTATTAATTTGCATGTATTGTATACACATGGGAATGTATTTTTAGACAAAATAAACTAGTATAAACCAGTCATATTTGTTCTTTGATGGTAAATACGGTATTGGAATGATGGCCCATGTATCTGGAAATATTTCCACTTTCTAAAGTTGTAAAATTCCTTTGCAATTTTGAGTAAAATCTTCGAACTTCGGGCGATGTTATTTAAGTAATTTACTAGATGCCACTGACATGATCTGATATGATCGCGGACGGGGGTCACAGAACGCGCGGGATAAATTGACTACTCCGCACATGGGTGGTTTCGGGTGTGTCTTGCAAAGCCATTTGGGCAGATTTTTCAATATTTTATAGGTTGTTTTTGTAGGCACTACTGTATGAAAAACAATTAGTCTCGCGCGTTTGAACCGTGCTTTACAGTTTTTCTGCATGGCGTCAGCAAAATACTAAAAACTCCATAATATTTTAAACTCAGGCAGGAATTATTAGTATAGCTATATGACTAGAGTGCAAAAAATCAGCAATGTGGCACACAGGCACAGTGCACTAATAGCGACAGTATTAATAATAGTTTTGAAATATTTGCAATGATTTTTGAACAACTTCTGTTTGGCATCATGTTTATTAGTAAAATGCAAGATGTATTTAGGATTTATATCTGGTAGCAACTCTGCATACTATCATGAATTGAAGGCTGCGAGGGGTAAATTATATACAGTCTGAAAAAAGCGTACGAAGATTTTTGGGATTAGAAAATCCCGGCAATTTTTCTCGGGATTCTGGGATTTTTTTTCCCAAATTTAAGGGTTTTGGGGATTTTTTTCAGCTGATTCTTTTCGAAATGTTTTTCCTTATTTTTTTTTCGCCGAACTTTTCCCGACATTTTTTGCGACATATAATCCGTCGAATTATTTTTAAATTTCACATTTTCACGCAAATTCACGATTTAAATTTTTAAATTTGATGAGATTTCTTGATATTGCAATAATTTTGAGGGTTTTATTGAGCTTTCTCCAAGTATTTTATGCAATTCCCATTTACATGGATGGTATTGCATACAATTCTAGGATTCTAGGGTTTAGTAAGATTTTGGGATTTTTTAAAAGATTTTTTTTGATGAACTGTATACGAAGATTTTCAGAGTAATTTACCCCTCTGAAGGCTGTATTTAATTGAACTTTAATTTCAGCGTATTAAAAATTTTAAAAACGCATTGAACGGTGCGTTAAATTTTAAAAACGCATTGAACGGTTTATCCGGTACCCATCTACCCGGTACCCATTTACCCATTTATCCCAATCTACCCATTTACCCATTTACCCGGTAACCGTCTTTTCTACCATGCCGGGTGTACATGCTTGCGTTTCCCCCTCCCCAGGAGTCTCGTGCTTTTAGCACCCGTGCATTCTCTGGTAGCGGCATGAGAGGGCCTTGAAAAATGATTTATTTTGGCCCGCCACTTTACGTTATATTCTGACCACACCCTTTCGTCGGGCAAAACCAACCCACATGTACAATTGCTGTGTTATTTATAAAGGAGAGGCAAGCATTTAAATTGCTATTTAGTGTATATTAAGACCCAAATATACACAATAAATACATGAATATTCACTTATGTGTACTATATATATGGACAAATATTGCGATGTTAAAAAAATAAAAATGAACGACAAAACGTTATTGAATTCGGTTTTTGTGATATTCCTAATTATCAAGGAAATCGAGACCTTGATAATTTCAGATATTACAAAACCCCACTAACTATTTATTAATGGCTCACAACGTTTGTAGTGTTCGAATATGGGTGTACTCTCTAATAATTGGCAAGGAACCTTGTACTATAATTACCATTAAAATTAGTATATACCAGATGTAGCGATTAAGACGTAGTTATTTGAAATAATTCATAAATATTCTTGTGTTATAATTTGGTCTTTTTATACATACATTATTTTAACCATTCCCGAAGCAAGTTAATCTGACTTTCCACACTGTTCAGACTTGTCCCGCCAGTTGACTGATACTGCTCAACACTCTGCTGATAATCCCACACGCCGGTAACATCCTTGTCAAATTTAGGGCTGAAGAGAAATAAAGATGTTATACGGAATCAGCGATTTCCTATTTTCATAAAGAAGATATACAGAGCTTATTTAAAAATGAAGTTCATGCATTGAAATAGCAATTTGGACAAGAGTACAACAGCAAAAAGTGATGTTTATTTTTATATATAGTCATTTTAAAGCCAATCGTGGAATATACTTATTTGTTAAAAAATTTTGTCTGTCTTTGCGAGTTTAATTAAAATGCAGTGTAATTCCTGTATCTTACCTATAAGATATCCCCCGGCCTTCCCCCGAAACAATGTTGTCGAATTGCGTTTTAAATATGGGGAAATAATCGCAACAATGGGCGGAGGAGAAGGGACAAAAACCAAAGAAGTTAGTTTAAGGCCCGTTTCAAACGTCGTGCTTTTCATGTGCCAAACGCATTACAAACAATAGATAATCAGTTGAGGAGCCTCATTATATCTATTGTTGTTAATGCGTTCGGCACATGAGAATCACGACGTTTGAAACGGGCCAAATGCAGTTCTATAAAATTCTCATCAACAGTTTTGTCCACGATTATAACTTCTCAGATTCCAAGTGACTGAGAACAAAACCTTGAGATGCACAAGTGACTGGCAGGATGGCTGGCCGACCAACTGATTGTGTGTCGTATAGAGTGAAACGTAGAAACAGAGTGATTACCAACGCTTCGAGTATGCCTAATATAATCAGTCCAGATAGATGTTTTATTGACTATACAGGGTGTATAAAAAAGTAGACAATTTTAATTTGAAACGGCTCTCAACTTGTTAAAAAAAAGATAAATTGCATGGTTGTAGAATAAACAAACATTTTTCGCAAAGATAAATTTCCTAGAGCATTTTTACAATAATTATATGCAATTTTTTTTTCTGTGTTGGTGTTGTGTACTCAGGTGAATAATATGTTTGCGATGTTACTCTGAGTGCATATCCACACCGGGCGAGCTTTGAAAAATATGCCCGGCCGTGGCCGGGCCCACCGTGGCCGGGCATACTTTTCAAAGCTCGCCCGGTGTGGATATGCACTCAGAGTAACATCGCAAACAAACTATATGCAAATTAGGTAAATGTACGAGTTAAGCATGCGTGATAGGCATTGGTGCCAAAAAATGAAAGTTTCAGCAGCTATACTTAAAATTGAGTGAATTTTTTGATTTTGGACCATTGATAAAACACATAACAAATTTCTCGCCCATGAACTCAACATGCGAGACACCTCCCTGCTCTGGAAAACTTATTTTTACGAAATATTTTTGTTTACTCTACATTATAAGTACCCTAACAACCTATATTTATCAAACATTTCATGAAATGAACGCATTTGTGAAATTGAGAGCTGTTTCGAAATTGTCTACTTTTTATGCACCCTGCGTGTAGAAAACAAACAACCATACGCTGAATACATTTAGTCATACATGTAATCTTAAACTATTCTATAAAATGATAAAAAAAGATAAATATTATATTTGGTCGCATGCCTTCTGCATATTGTTTTCTCAGGTATATAGTATAGTTTCTCGTCAGTCCAATCTCATTAGTCCAAAAACTGACGAGTTCTTCAAACACTTCAATCGTGCAATTATTATCGTCTTTGAAAAAATGACTCGGGCATATTTTCCCCCAAATTCCACTAGAAACCACCTATATATTCAAATGGCATGCAGATTGCATTTATTTTTCGCACAGGGGGGTTGAGGACATCTTTTTACCAGCTAAATTGTGACCCCATGGAATTCAGTTTATACACCCCCTTCCCTGGAATTTCCTAGGAATTCATTGCCAGATACCCATGGAAAATTGCTTTAATCGCAGACCATCCCCTGGATTTTGGTCCCTAAACACCTCACCCCCTGGATTTGTGGGGTCTTTTTCACCCCTGCCCCTAGATTTTCCAAGGTCTTTTTTACACCCCTCCCCTTTTTTACACCCCTCCCCACCGCACCCAATCACAATTTACTCTACCCCTATTGTCGCGAAACTTTAAGGATATAACCAAAAGGTCCAGGCTTTGGATTTTGAAAATTTCCCGGGGAAGCCTGCTTCCGGAGCATTCTTTTTTGTTTCTTTTGTTCTTTTTTTGTATGGCCACCATGTTACGAATGTATATGTCAAAACGTGCCTCAAGTTAATTCGAATATTTTCTGATGACAATTTGGTTAATTAAACAATTTTTAACTCCTATTTTTGCTATTTACACTGACCTGAAAGGTCAAGTGTCTTAAATCCCTAAATATCTATTTTTTCCTGTTTTTTTTTCGTCGTCGAGAAATCGAGTATGCGTTAGCGCATCGCAGGCTCAGTTTCCAGTGTTGCAGTTTATTATACAGATCAGTTTTCAAGATGGTGGCCATTCAATGAGTGACTATTTCAGTCTCAAACAATTTATTCATTTGTCAACGAATTTTAGCGCGTTTTTCTGTTGATTTATCCTACTCTGCACTTCCTTGCAAGTTGACTGGTTGGGTTTTTTTCGTGCAACGTCTCTGGAAATGCAATATCTGGATCGCTGAGTTTTTCGAATTTTATACGTTTAATATACGGACTCACGGAACGTAAACAATGTTGTCTGCGTTAGCGCATCGCACGCTCAGAGCTAGACCATGTGCATTTATGGATAACGTTTGTATTTGTGAGTGATACTTGTGTTTCATTGGGCATTACGAAAACATCTCCTGAGGATCACGCCACGCTTTTAGCCTTTCACGCTTTGCGTTCGCGCTTCACATTTGTATTCTTGTCTATTGCACCATAGCACGTATGTCGTCATTTTCAGGTCAGTGTGAACGCCTGAGCAGGCGTCTTGTTCTACCAAACTATGCTCACAATTCGTTTGCAAAAATTAATCTCAAGAAATATTATATGTGGCATTTCAACAAGCGACAAACTCTTTTCCAGCCTCAACGTTTCATTTCTGAATATTTCATTTCCGCTCTTGTTTTTTTCCCCAGCTAGACACTATTAAGAACTCAGTCTCAAAGGCCTTAAGCAATCATTATTTAGTACCAGACCACCTATACTGGTCGTCTGCAGAGTTAAGCACGTAAGCACGAGATACAATTGCTGACTAACATCATGCTATACAATATTTGGGAATTGTTTCAAGGATATCTGATACATTTCAGTGAATAAACAAATTACTGTCGACCCAAGGTAGAGTGAAATATACCTTAAACTATAGCTTAAATGGGAAATACCTCGTTACCAACCGAGGTGGAACAAATAAAAAATTTCCTAATAAATTAAAGCTGCCTTAATTTTCAATTTTTGATATCATATTTATGATTGCTTTGTCTTTTATGTCATGGTATAAGCTAATTAGACGACGTGACATTTTGCTCACAGAAAACACTAATATATATGTTATTTACCGGATTGGAGGTACGTATAGAGAAATATTTCTCCAGGTCTTAAAAACGGCCCGAGACGGAGGGATGTTTTTAAGACCGAGAGAAATATTTCTCTAGACCGGCATGCATACCCAATCTCGTTCCCCGAGCATGCGCGTTCGCAGGTTAAGGGTGGGCATAGCTCTGGAGAAATCGAATTGATTCAGGCCTGTGATTGGCTAACGGCAGATAGTACGTTGCAAAATATAAATAAAGTATTTGGAATTTCTCGTCGAAAATTTGATAATTTTTACACTGAAATCGATTGAAAACAACTAGAAATTCTGGAGAAAATATGTACGGAAGCTTCGGATTGATAGGGATACAACTACATGAAAAATACAAGGAGAACTTCGACGTTTCGAGCGAAGGCGCTTCGACTTGTGGTGTTAGTGTTTGTATACATCGTACTTGACCTTTTAATATACTGCCGTACCTAACACTACGTATACCATATACTGACAGGAGAGTTAAATGTAAATTTTAAAGCACATATATATATTATACTCATTCTTGAGGAGATTATATTTATCAGTAAAGGTCAAGTACGATGTATACTAACACTAACAGTACATGTCGAAGCGCCTTCGCTCGAAACGTCGAAGTTCTCCTTGTATTTTTCAGGTAGTTGTACTCCTATCAATCCGAAGCTTTCCCCCAGAATTTCTAGTTGTTTTCAATTCAATTTCAGTTGTAAAAGGTATCAAATTTTCGACAAATTCTAAATACTTTGTTTATATTTTGCAACAATTGCCGAGCATGCGTAGAATTCACGTTGGAAATCCAACGTGAATCAATTCGATTTCTCCAGAGCTATGCCCACCCTTAACCTGCGAACGGGCATGCTCGGGGAACGAGATTGATGCATACCTGTAAATAATATTTTTATTTTTTATTTTAATCGCCCCCTCTGAATTTCCCCTCCCGCACGCGAATGAAGCTGCCAAATAAGGAAGTCACCTGACATGTTTATTCAAAAAATTCAAAAACGAAACATTCTGAATACAAGCACTTTTCAAGCGAACAAAAGTCGTTTAAATATATAAATATCCACTGGAAGTTTATTATAAGGAATCAAATCTAACAGAAAAACCTCGAAAAAGTTATATTTAGTCCGAGTCACTGTCATCGCTCAAGATTGACATTTAATTTAATTTAAGAGCTGGACATTTAATTCTTTGGCAGGTATGTTTTCAATTTCTCTTCTCTCGGTCTTACTAAAAACGTCCTTCGGCCTCGAGAAATATTTCTCTATACGGACCTCCAATCCGGTAAATAACATATATTTATTTTCTCAGAAGCATTATTTCAGCTTTCATGCTCAGTTTTATATAGATATTTTCGAAAAAAAAAAGCTGCCATAGCCTACGGCAAAAAAACAATTGTCGATTTTCCCGCGTTTATTCCCATTTCCTAGGATACGAGGCCCCGATTGCGATTTGGGAATGAGGTCTATGCCACTGAGCTATACTATATTACTGGAGGACTTGCTCGGCATAAAAAAGTGAAGCCGAAAACATGGCGGATCTTACGCCATTTCTATGACAACACTGCCGAAATTTTCATAGTAACTGCCACTGACCAACCGCGATCCTAAGCTTCCGACGATGTCCTTAACCCCCCTGGTTTTTGCACAAATATTTTAAGTTTTCTGTTGTTTTTGAGCTAAAAAATCTTAATATTTTCCTCCAACATTACTTGCTTAACAACGCGGAGGAAGGATGCGGGTTTGCTTCGCTTGTGGATGCAGCACTTCACTACAAAGAAAGACTAATACTTTCAGGTAAGATTCACGAAACTTTTTTTAACTTTCTAGACGAATAGAGTCACTATTAGAGGTGTGCAAATCCGATCCGAAACCGATCCGAATCCAATCCGATCGGATTCGTTCGGATTTCGGAACCAAAATATTCATTTCGGATCGGATCGGATTGATAAAGTTGTTTCGTAGTCGGATCGGATCGGACTTTGATATCCGAAATAAAATGAATTAATTATCCACGCATTGTCGCAAGAATTAATTATCCATGCATTTATCAAAGCATCATCGCGGTTGTCGCTGCATTATTCGTTTGATACTTCAATTGGACGTCACTTTGTCAGCTTCTTGACATATATTTCTTGCTTTTATATTTATTTGGTTAAACATTTCAACTTGAATGAGAAATTTATTTTATTAAGGGGGAGACTGCTCACTGCTGCCACGCAGTGGGTTAGTTACACTTTCTGCCAATGAACAGCCCCTGAGATATAGTCAGGCAATTAAGCTGCAATGTGCCCAAATGAACCCTAATGTCTTATTTTACTGTGTACGTCTCAGACTAAATCCAGGTGTTTTACTCATCAAGGGTAAAAAATAGATTATAATAACATTTTGCAATTGTCTGTTCAGAACTTACATGGCTGAACAGATAAGTGAGTCACTGAATACACTAAACAGGTAAATTCGGAATGCTACAACATTTCTAACATTGGAAGTGGTGATGTCTGATATGCTCTGTGAGAAATTATGATGAAATTTGCTAATAATAGTTTGACAAATTTTAATTAGCAGTTAGTTATGTAATTGCATTTCTGAATATGAATACAAGACACTTAACTTTGAAGCTAGGATCAATGGTCTTGGTAAAAATTAACAGATCATGTATTGCACCATAGTGGCAGCACTCTCCTCTTGATTAGTAAAATTGTCCGACGTTAGATAGATTAAAATAATATAGTAAAGCGCATCAAGACACATTGTCACTTGAAGGGTTACATGTGTGTACATGATATTTTTGTGGTGTACAGATTGTTTGCAGAAATTATCTGTTTAATATAGGTAACAAAAGAGATGGCACAGGCATCAACATGCAGAACAACAAAATGAAGTTATAATTATGATACAATAATAACACAATAAATGATTATATGATTATGATAACTTTATTGAAGTGTAAAGTTTTTTAGCAGAGCACATGTACTCCATTAATTAGGGACAATTAAAATTGTACATTTTTTAAAAATTGTTTACTGCTAATAATTCTACAAAAACGTCAAATACACCCTTCCGGAATGTATGTCACTTTGGCTAATATGGAGTCTCGTTTTCGTGTAACTGACATGGGTTAAAGTACGTCCTGAATGTCTCAATCATGAAAATGAGATTCTATAGCCAAGTTGACATACTTTCCGGAAGCATGTATTAAAAAAGTAGTTCAAAATTAATCAAGCTTTAATTTTATGTTCAGTTGCCAAAGATGTGGCTTGGTACTGTATTTTGCCACCCAGAAAGTCATTGTGGAATAAATCTGCAATAAACAAAGAATACATTAATTATACAGGTTGTATGACCAAGGTAAACAAAATAATTTATTATATAAACATAAGTGTTATATAGAGTTTTTGGCCACTGAGAAAAATCGTATTTAAACACACGTAAAAAATACGATATTTTTACGTGTGAAAATATCATTTGTTGTAAAACGCATTGCCACGAACGTTTTATTGTTTTTCACTGAATTTTGTTTATATAATAAACAGAAAAATACATGGGTGCTTGGAAATACCAGATTTATTTCTCGTGTTGAACATGATATCTCACTCGTTCGCTGCGCTCACTCGTGAGGTATCATGTTCAACACGAGAAATAAATCTGGTATTTCCAAGCACCCATGTATTATTCTCTATGTGCATGACCTAACTCCTCAACTTAAACCAGGGATATCAGAACTATGAGTGCACTTTATATAAAGGTACTGAGAAAACCTGTACGAAAACAGTGCATCCTGGGAATGAGGTGTGATCACACATGCATGCCTTGGCACACACCTCAGCTAAACCTTGTTACCTCGGGCTCAGCTTAGGGAAAAGTGTGAATTATCTCAAGCCTCTATAATGACACAAAAATCAAGACTATCCCCAACCAGAAAGCTAGGTAGAAACTACCTTCCTGGATCAGCTTCCAGCACCCCCAGCTTATATACATATAAAGTGGTACATAACACAGAACCTATCTCAGCCTCTTTTAAAAGATAGTCTTGCAAAGATAGTCTTGCGATTGCGAATCACAGCTTGCTAAAATAGTGGGAAGTTTTACACTTTACCATGTGTATTGTATGAAGTTGTTTTTATTAACAAACAGTTTCATCGTTATGCTTATCAATTTCATATCAAATAAGATAAAGTCTAAATAACATTGAATGTGAAAATACGTCTCTTACCCTTTGTATTAATATCCATATTCAAGTATCGTCTTTTTCGATTTTCCACATTTCTTGAGGTTTTAAAATTTGTTTGTCGTCTTTCACAGGCGAGAGTATATAAACACGTACGACTTGCATATCTTTGACCAGATGGTCAAAGGTAGAAAATTTATCTCGAAAACATTTTTAAAAATGATTCAAAACAACGAAAACTACATTATCTGCAAAACTGTTTTGCAAAAACCAGGGGGGGGGTGTGTGTGTGTGAAAACTGCCGTGGGCTCAGAATTGAGCCTGGTCAGTGGTAACTACCATGAGAATAAAGTAAGTGTTGTCATGGAAATGGCGTCATTTTTCATCAAAATCCGCCATGTTTTTGGCTTCACTTCGTTAACTGAACGAAGTATAGGAGCAGGTCCTCCAGTTATTATACAGCTCAGTGGTCTATGCGCGGAGCCAAATCTGTTCAAAAAGAAGCGGAAATCTATGAAAGAAAAAAGCCAAACGTGGACTTCTACGAACAAAATCATATATGGCGAATTATGATTGGTCATCGGATTTCATGGATTCTGATTAGGTATAATTACAACCAGGTTATTTCTGGCAATGACATCCAAATTAAAAATGCATATCAAACTCCATACAATCAATGCTTTTCACGCATTATTAGTAAAATTTCGAAAAACTCGTGTAAATTGGAAAGAAGCCAAAAAGAAGCCTAAAGGCCAAACTTTTTGTAGCCAAACAAGAAATATGGAAGCCAGCTAAGAGGCCAAACTAGTAATCCCGATGAAACTGCATTCACGACCCAACTTTATGACAGTCCAGTCTATTGAATATTGTCTTCATGACGGGTGATCTTAAACTGAAGTGCGACTTCTTACAGACCTGGAAATAATTCCAGTCTTTCTTGGATCCTGCATGGGAAGTTATTTTGAAAACACGGTGGTCAAATTACATTAAACAGGACTTGAACATTTATCCACACAGCTGTTAGGCATTAGCTTCGCTTAACAATTAACACAATCTTTCGTCTTTAGCTTTCGCGGCCAGGTCATATATATGCATCTAATTGTATGCATGCTATACTGATGTTAGCAGATCAAATTAAGTCGTACTCAATGCTTATTATAAGCATCACTGAACACTGTCTTGCGTTTTTACTTCATAAAAGCAATATTGATATATACCCCGTGTTTCCATTTTCAAGGAAATTTCAAGAACATTTTAGTATAGGAATGTATGATAAAGGAAATCGAATTTCAAGGAATTTTTAATGCAAGGAAACCAACCCTTTGAGACCTTTTGAGGCCAAATAAGAGAAATTTGTTCATCAGGTGATATATTGACTTATAAATATAGGTAATTCTAGTTTTTTTGCCATTTCTCATTGTTATATACCAGCCTGAAACTTTTTTCCAACGAAAATCGAAAATCCTTTCTTGGATACTAAGATATTTTCTTGAAACGACGTTCCCAGGATCCACCGCTATTTCCAAGTCTGACTCCTAGCTTATATTCAAGTGAAGACGTCATCGGCCAACAAGATGTGACACATAAGTTCCCTCGGTTTTGGTATTCCATAGTTGTGAATTTACGATTTATTGATTTTTTCTAACACGACCTAAATTGGCATTCATTACATCTATATTTCACAGGGTTCGAAATAGCCGCCGCCGGCAATTTTAGAACCTTGCCGGCAATTTTTAATTTCAAAGCATAGGGGATCGGCGAAAATATTTATTCACCGATGATTCGCTTACAATAACACATACATATAAAATAACAGTTGTATATTTAAATATTATCATGACATCGACTGTAGTGACTATAGTGAGAAGAATCCAAACCAGATTTATTAAACAGTGACGGATTTTTAGTCGTTTACGACATATATATAAATTTATTAATAGCCTATAGCTAGATTATTTAACTTCCCTATAGCTTAATAGAACCGAACTTAAACTCTTTGTATAAAAAAACAATATTTTCTTATTGTTTTGAACTGATTCACACAGAACTTGTTAATGTTTGTTCCTATACACCAAATTAAATGTTTGGTTTACATCACTATTATTTGGCCGATGCTCATTCCAGAACATCACTAAACTTTACTTGGAAAACAGCCGGCAAGAATTTTCACCTACAGAAAACAGCCTACAAAATTTGACATATTTTCAGAACGTTATTTCGAACCCTGTAATTACCTGACGGTTGCGAGGTCCGTAAACGTCAGTTCACTGAGCAAACACTTTTTATCCTCTGCAAGTTTGACAGCGCAACCAGATAAGCTGTGTGCTTCACGGAACGGCACCTGCCCGAATGCATAAAATTATTTAATAATAATAATAAGTTTGTCACAGTTTACATGTTATTTACATATCAACTACATATATACGTTAATAATACTAACGCCTGTATTCTAAAAGCTCCCTCATAATGCTCACACTCAAAGATTGGAGGTTCAATCTGAACTTCCCCTGAGTGTCAATGCTGTTTTTGAATAGCTAGAGGGTTAGTGTCGTACCTTACTATACTCGCCCTCCAGCTATTCAAAAACAGCATTGACACACTCAGGGGAAGCTCAGATTGAACCTCCACTCATTGAGTGTGAGTGAGCTTTTAGAATACAGGCGTATTAAGCTTACAAAGACAAGTTGTGACAGGAGAAATGAACAGGACTTTCGTCCCAATTGACACCCAACCCCTAAAGTCGTTAATATATATAGATAAATAAATAACAAACAATAAAAACATTAGTTATAACCACTTTTTGTATAAGATTTAAATCCTATAGCAACAATGTAGATACTTTAAATTTTATATATCAATAAATAATTTGGAAATCGTCAGATAACTTAAATATTTGTAAAATTGTAAAATACTATATTGTAAAATTGGTCGGAAAATGGCCCGACAAATCACATTGTGTACACTTTAGATTGTAGTTCAGTACAATTCGCTTTTATTAATCGAACGTGATCATATATTTAGGGGTGTTTCTACATGATTCTTTGCTTTGGGGGCGAATTGTATCACCTATACAAAGACCGGAGTTTATACCTACCCCTTTTCTAACCAGATAGTAGGCAAGGTCTGTGGAAAGCATATTTGGAGTCAAGCTGGACACCATCTTCTCCTTATCAATCTAAACCGTAAAAAGAAAGCACAGTGTTAACTTCGACAAACAAACAACTTAACTTTATAGTTGCGGTGCACAAACGAAGTTTGGTATCGTTTTATATTTGCTGCTTGTGTTTCTTTATACAATTACTTTATGGTTTCCGTGTTTGGATGGCCTGATCCAAACACGCGGGAATGTTGCGAGAGTTAAGAAAAGCGCGCGAAAGCACGAGCCGAAGGCGAGTGATTTTGCGCGCTTTTCTTAACTCGAGCAACATTTCCAAGTGTTTGGAACAGGCCATCCTAACATGGAAACCATAAAGTGATTGCTTTATAAAATAACAACAACACGACAGTCTTCCATGTTTGGATGGTCTGATCCAAACACGGGTTTCGACCAATCAGAACACGCGTTATATACATGTTATTTTATAAAGTCAGTTACTTGGTTCGGCATCATAAGCCTTGGTATTTATGCGCTTGTTTTGCGCATGCTCCAGGGCAACGTGGACTGTAGTATTACAGTACAGTATGTCTGGTTTCAAATATTTTTATGCTGGTAAAAAGCATGGGCACACATAATTAGTCGAAAACAAACCATCACACGAATGCAACAACAGACAAAACAAAAGAAAAACAACAAAAGACCAAAAACAGCGACAAAAGAGAAAACAAATGAAAGTAACAACAACATCAGCAGCAAATATAATCATAACAACAATAACAGTAGCAATAATGACAAATTTGAGCAAAAAGATCTTCAAATCTAAATTGAAAATCCAGCTTTTCCATATTCTAGAAAATGAGGACGTCTACATTAATTTCCATACACTGTTAACGAAAATGTCGAATATCCAAAACCCAAATAAGTGACTTGAATCTTTCACTTTCAGATATAGCAACTTTATTTGCTTTACTATCATTTTAATCTCTATACTATTAAATTATATATACCAATAATTATATGATTGATATCATCTATATCGATCTCACTTATTCTTCATTATAAATATCTTATTCCAATTAATTGATGTGAAATTGTATATTACTTCCCGCCTAGAATAGCTCTGCTAATTGCGGGTTTGTATAATTCTGTGTTTATTGTAAGTTGATGTCAATTTAATAATAATAATGTTAATAATGACAGTATAACAAGGAGCAGCAGCTGCGAAAATGCAACTATACGCCCTCTGCCTCTGGCAAGAATCGAAAATGACCCTGCGGTGCAGCGCTCTATAACCAACTGAGCTAAAGAGTCCAGTTGACGAGCACTAACCTACAGTATATATATGAACTTGTGGTTAGAGCCAGTCAACTATACTCTGTAGCTCAGTTGGTTAGAGCGCTGCATCGGAATCCTGCCTGAGGGCCTATATAGTTTAGGAATGTTCGGTATGAGAAATTTCCGGTATCGGTATACCGAAAAAATTATACCGATATTATCGGTATACCGGTTTTCCTTTGATAATTAGTTGGTAAATTATGTTGTATATAGTTGGTAAATTTAACACGGTATACCGAAAAATTCCGGTATATCCGAAATTTCGGTATATCGGTATGGTTGAATATCCGGTATCGATATACCGATAGTGATTTAATACCGATATTTTCGGTATATCGGTATACCGAACAGTCCTAATATAGTTGCATTTTCGCAGCTGCTCCTGGTTCGGTTCGAAAATTATATATAATAGTCCGTTCGAAATTTCCATCTACAAAGACCCTCCTATCCAGCGAGATGCCCCCAAATCTACCCAATATAAGAAAAAGGACAAGAAAGGACAACAACAATACCAAGGCTATTCCAGATCATACAAACATACAAGGGGAAATCCTTTCCTCTTCAGAAATGAATTTTCTCTTAGGACCTGTTTATATGGAGGTAGGGTGACCCTATCAGGAGGGTTACCCTAGCAAGCGGGTCATCCTAGTTCAATGTGTTTTATAGTAGTATATATTTGTATATATATTTGTATATTTGTATTAGTATATATATTTGTTCAAACTGAGCCACACGATTTTGCCCTGGACTAAAAATGTGCATTTCATATGATGGATTATGGTTTATGGGAAGCAGTGATAATTTGTTAAAGTGGAAGTCAAGTCCGTATGTAAACAAACGGTTTGTTTACATTTTGAACTGTTGTATTTTTTTAAAATATGATGTACCGTCTGAATATCTAACACCATTTTGGTTCGCTATGCTTCTAAATGAATATGAAATAGAGTTTATGTTCAGAAAAATACGAAACATTCGAAATTTGGACAATGTTTACATTAGAGGGTCCTCACATTGTTACGAGCAGAGCCGATGCGCAGAACGGACTTGACTTCCACTTTAACACGAGACATACATGCCATGCCGCCAGTGTTACACAACTGCCCAACGGATATGGTTCACGCGAAGCATGATCCTAGCACCTGCGTGGAAATGTTGGCAATTTTGTACGCAACATGAATTTCAAACTATTACGGAAAAGAAGTGAAGGGTGAAATAACCTTGAGTGTAGAAAGTGTTCCTGAAGCGACTTGCAATACGCCATCCAAGGTGTCACAAACATCGAATAGAGCTTCCTTGTCTTCCTGGAAAAATATGGAACAAAACGATGAAACGCAGGCAAACACAGCCTTCATGCAGCCTCGTACCCAGGCCACAGAGAAGAGATATACAGAGAGGAAACTGACATTCGATAACCTGAATTTTTGTGTCACGCGTTCCACGCGCCACACAAAATCTTCCAGCCAGTGCCGTCGTTGAAATTCATAGCAAAAGATAGGGAAAACGCCGTTCGAAAGGCGGAAATCGCTTTTTTTTAAAAAATGAGATACCCATGGAAATTTTGTTCAATAAATTATTGTAGAATAACGCTAAGCGATCACTTTTATTGATTTCTTTTTATTAAAAGTGTTAACATAACATTCTATTTTGCAAAAGTTTGTTTTTTCCCCTTATTAAATCTACTCCTTATTAAAATCGTGAAAAGCACTGGCTGGGAATTTCAGATGCTTATGTATAAAAAACAAAGCAGCAAATGATAGAAATTCCTCAAAATATAACTCTTGCATAAAAAAAAAACATGCTTACTTCTATAATATGTATAGTTTTTTCCTCTGCATGGTCAAAATTTAATAAAATAGTGAATTAATATAATTTTCTATAGTTAATAGACTGAATATATCGGCGTGACACAATTTGCCGCGTGTTTCCTCTCTGTATATCTCTTCTCTGTGCCCAGGCGCTATGTGTTGTTCTATGGCTTGCGCGGCCTTTGCGTGGGCCGCGTGGATTAATTTGATTGATACGTAAACAAACCAAAGCGCCTGGGTACGAGGCAGACCTTCATGGTAAACTTTAATAGTAATACGAAATAACACAGGATAGAAGAATTCACCAAATTAGACAAGAAGATCCAACATTACGCCCTATATTTCTTACAATGCCTACAATAATCATTATTAGCACATTTGAGAACAATGGTCGATAGCAATGGAGCATCCAATGTTTTGAAGATTTTTTCCGAGAAAATCCTTATAAATACGCGGCGAATTTCCAATGATGTATTTTCGCCGTCGTAACAAAAGATCGCAGATTATTCGGCTTATTTCGGGTTATCGCTAGTTCACAATCTTGCGGCACGTGACTGTGAACGAGTGATCTCTATATATATCTGGACGGCTATTCAACGAAATTCCGGACACACAAACTAACAACGCTTTTTCACAAACGATTTTCCTTGAAACGATGTTTTAAACGCCGTTACGACGTCCTACCTGTAAATCTTTGTTGTAAGTACTTGGCAAACCCTAGAGAGAAAGTTATTAAAATGAGCTGGGAGGGAATAAACTACCATGGTTTGCATTACATCTTTCTAGAGTTGCGTAGCTCCAAACCCCAAAAATACTATTTTAAGACTTAGAAACAGTAATATATATAGTTATGTTTTAGGCCTTTGGCAAATGTTGAAAATAGTCCATACAGAACATCATGTCAACTAAATTGGGAAATGAAAAAAATTGGGATAAAACACAAGTTACTGGATGTATATCGCGTCCTGCAAACAAATGCGCCGAGTTGAAAACAAGACTAACAAAATTTATATATAGTTGAGTGTAATTTTCAAGCCGTTAGCGTTGTATTATATATATAATGTGATAAACAAAGCAGGAATTAAAACTTTGTCAGTGGACGGTTCATCATAAACGTCAAAACTACAATTGTCTCGAACATTTTTATGTACATCAGTAATATGGGATGGTTTCTCGTGAAATTTGGATAAAACAAGCACTCGTGAGTTTTTCAAAGACCTGAAACAGCAGTCGTCCTTCGGACTCGTGCTACTTTAATGCTCTTCGAAGAGTCACTCGTACGCGTGTTTTATCAAAGTTGCACTCGAAACCATCCTACTACCTACTGTATACTAACAATATATAGAGTAGACAGATAACATCGTGATCATACCTTTAATGTCACTAAGAATCCAGTGAACTAAAAAAATAAGTATATATATAAACAATTTATTTCTAATTCATGTTTGCCAATAACTGAGAGTCGACAAAACTTTTTGTATTGAATGATCATGTATACTATTTACAACAATAAACTTTAAGATAAAGCTAACACAAGTTCAAACACTATTTTTGGCGTACCACCGATGTCGACATGTCGGTATCTTTCCATGAAAGAGTACAAGTTTGTGTACCAAAACTTATGTTAGCCTTCCCTGAAAATAATAATACTTATTTGGGTGTAATTAAGTAATACTTATTTGGGTGTAATTAAATTTTTGCCGAAACCCGGTACTATTCTGACTTTTGGTAATTCTGCAGTAATTTCTTTGACACTGGCTTGCTAATGACTTTTAAATTTGTCATTTTCTACACTGTAAAAACACCCTCACTAGTTACAATTTTCCTGGTTAACCTAGAAATAACCCAATTTGCTTTAACCTAATATTCCTGGTTAAATTTCCTGGTTATTTTCTCCTGCAGTGACTTCCTAGGTAGGAATTCGGACGTCCTGATTAAATTAACCAGACTATATGTAAGCCGGATAAATACCATGGGCACCTTGGACGTACAGGGGACAATGGGCATACTTACATCACCAATGACACGTCCTGATTTGCCTCGGATTAATTCCAAACTATCTGGATTTTTCTTTTGTGGCATCAAACTGCTACCAGTACTATAAAGCACAAACAAACATGAATATAGCACTGCTGAAAATATTTTTACAGTTAGTTACTTTCAAGTAACTGTAATGGTAATTCACTTTTTGTCCCCGAGCCAACGGCGCCGGGCGTAAGCCCCCCGTGGAGGGTACTAATTCTGCTCGGCCATTTACATCCGGGAAAAGGTAAGCATTAGAGCAGTCCGAAGCTCGTCAATAATCGCGGGCGCATGGCTATGGTTCATGGGTGTATGGGTGGTCATGTCACCGATCTCAATAATATGACCGTTTGCCAAGAGTGAAGGAGGCAAAGACTTTAAAAACACGTAAGAAAGCTTGGGAAATCGTTTCACAGAATAAAATTGTAAAAAAAAAGAAACAATTGTTTGTGGAATCAAGGCAAAATATCATCTTGTGACATACGCCTCCCGAAAAGGTAGCGTCGCATCATTATGTATATTGTTTCCCCAAGGTTGATGAGAAAAATAGATGCGGGATCGGATGACGGTTGCTGTTCCGACGTCACAAGATAAAGTTATTTGATTGGCTGGCTGGCTGGCTGAAATACTGGCCAATCAGAGGGCTTTATTTTGTGACGTCGGGACGACGAATCTGTCATGCCACATAGTTTGAAGAAAATGACTAAATTGAGTAAAAAAATTGATAATTTTCACAAAATTCACTCGTTTTAATGTAGTCAAAAAACAAAAAATACAATAGTTGAAGATATACTGATTATGATGAGTTACTTAATTTTTTTGATGAATTTCGATGTTTACGTACGAGTTTCTCTTTCTCATTTAGTTTTTGTACACAGTGTTAGATCGGTATTCTCTTGCCAACCTTAGGGAAATAATATACATAATGATGCAACGCTATCGCATGCGCTGTGTAAGATGTACTTCATGCAATACGAATTATAGAGGTTTTAGTGTAGATTAATCAAGCGAGAACATAAGCATTGCATTTTAAAGCAATTTTATTGAAGTTTTGAAAAAATAAAGACCTTTTCGGGAGACCCATGCCTGTATAATGGACATAATGCAAAGGTTTTTCTCTGACCTGTACGCGTCTGATAACAGGACATATCCGAACTCCGATGTACTGTATATAATTAAATCTTCTGCCCATCGACTAAAACAAAAGTGAGAAAATTCGTATTGAAACTACGGGGTTGCAATCATTCAATGGGCTACATACTGTTATTATTTCTCATACCTTGCCAGTGTAATTGTGAATTTCATACCTCAAATGTGTCATCAGAAGCGAAGCCCAAAACATAAACTCGGCCACATAGTCTCGATCCGAGGTAGCATCCAGACTGTTGTTGGAAACATTTTCAAATCCAAGTTCTAACAAAAATACCGTAAAAAGCGTGTTAGCCTGCTCCGTCATCTTGCAACAGTAATAATGTGATGCATTGTATTCTAGGTTTCTGTAAGCTGGATAAATAACCAGGGGTCCCTGGACGTGCAGTGGACAATGGGCGGACTTACATCATGCACCAATGACACGTGAAGAAATCGTGACGAAATTTTAAGTGTGAACCAGGACTATAGGCTTTAACAAATCCAATAGACAATTCCCATTACAGACTAATTTTAAAACTAGGCAAGGAGATGCAAATAAATCAACACAGCTAGAAAGAGCATACTAAAATTAGTAAAATTGCAAAGTTTGGTTGCGAATGCGGAAGTTTGGAAATTTTATATACTTTTGTATTGCGTGCGGAAATTGGCACCATTTTCGGCCCAAATGTGGTAGCAATTTCTGCACGCAATACAATGCTAGCAATACAAAAGTATACAACATTTGCAAAATTTGCAAGGCTATATTTTCTGCATTTTACAACATTGCGCAACCAACCTTTGCAAATTTTACTAATATTAGTATGCTCTTTCTGGGAATATACTTTTTTTTGCCAAGATAAAAAATTATTCTATAATCGAAATTGTCTATTATAACGTCAATTTGAGAACATATATGTCAATTATATATACCTTCTGCCAGAAACTCGCGATCAACATTAAAAGGATTTCCCGCGAGAGCACCACTAAAAGCAAAATCAACAATATAATATTATTCAGATGTTGGTCACGGATCATACGTACTGTATAAATTTTATCGTATGACCGATATCAGAGTAATAACAAAATCAAAATTTATAGGATAATCATGATATAATTTTAAAGCATCCATCAGGCTGGATAGCATCTTAGGTCATCTCAGTTCCACCAGAAGATGTTATATTTGTGAACTATAGGGAGCTGAGTGTCGAGTTCCCCAAATTTGAAGATACATTTTGAGCATTTTATAAGGACTCTTTACGGTGCAAATATGTAATTTTCAGGATCAACTATACGCAGATATTACTAAATACTACTTAAAATACTCATTAAAAATTCATAAACCTTGTGGCAAATCATGTAAGCCATAATATGTCACGTGGAGTGACTTTACATCTGATAAACTCTGATCTTCATCAGTATTCTTTATATAATTGTTCATCCTAATTAGTATGATTATATAATTGTTCATCCTAATTAGTATTCTTTTGTAGTCGTATTTTAAGCTATTCAAAACACTCGAACTCGCGTTTTATCATATCTAAAACGCTCGGCTGCGCCTCGCGTTTTAAATATGATAAAACACTCCTTCTCGTATTTTAAATACAACATGATATTACTAAAATAAAAGTGGGTCAGGTCATGAAATGGAAATTGATTTTATGCCTCTTTAAGCCCATTTTCCACTACGCGAATTTGTTCGCGCGAAATTCGCCACGAAAAAGTTAGATCAGTTCCTACTTTTTTACTGTTCGCGCAAACAAATTCGCTTAGTGGAAAATGGGCTTTATGCCTTCCCACAACAGATATGTTTGGAAAGGAGAATGTGGGCGAGTGTATATACATTTTCTTTATTCTGCATAAATGCAAGTCTGAATCCAACTTAAAGTTTGCAAAATGAACATTAAGGACTTTCGTGGCTTTAAGGCCATACAAACAGTGGCGTAACTTTGTGTTAAGGGTCTAGAACTAGTGGATACCCCCCTTTCATTTACCATACAGGGCGTCGACGGGGGGGGGGGGCGAGAACCTGGTATTTAATAACCCCGTTTACACTACACTCAGTTTTGGTACCCGTACCATTTTCAACCGTGCTCGGACTCAATAGCGTAGCCAGCCCGACGATTTAGTCCCGCTATGCAAATATTTTCGTGTTCATTGACTGTGAAAACAATCAATTTCTAAAGAAATGAATAATGATAATAATTCTGAATTTGCATAGCGGGACTAAATTGTCAGGCTGGCTAC